AAAAAAAAAAAAAGGCTGGGCACAGTGGCTCAAGCCTATAATCTCAGCACTTTGGAAAGCCAAGGTGAGGGGACTGCCTGAGCCCACGGGTTTGAGACCAACCTGGGCAACTTGGCGAGACCTCATCTCTACAATAAATAAAAAAATTAGCCTAGGGTGGAAACGCACTCCTGTAGTTCTGGCTACTTGGAAGGCTGAGGCAGAAGGATTGCTGGAGCCCAGCAGGTCAACACTAGAGTGGCCATGAGCGTGCCACTGCACTCCAGCCTGAGCAACGGAGTGAGATTCCAACTCAAAAAAAAAAAAAAAAAAAAAGTCAAGAACCACCAGGACTCTGATCTCTCTAATTAATGCATAATAGTCAGAAGAATAGATTCTTCTCTCTTAAACATGTGTCTAGGATTGAATGACTTCAAAACTCACCTACATTTGCCACATAGATCTTCCACCAAGATCCCGCCTATAAATAAAACCATTTACATTCCAAATGTACATTCTTAAAATTTTATTTTAAAGATGTAGGGTACAATTCAGGATTAGGTATACAAGTGGTCATTGTACAGGTAAAGTTTCTTTGGAGAATCTCTGCACACTCCAGCTCCATTCTATTGATCCTATCCTAAAGGAGCTTCCCGCAGCAGGACACTGAAAGTTAAACTCATATCCTTATGAGATCCACCCTCAGTGGTGGCTATGCAATAGTCTGGGAGAAGAAACTAGAAGCACAGCATATCCATTGTAAAGCTCACTTCACATGTAGTTCAGGTTCTACTGGCAACGGAAAAAGAGATTGCAATGAAACATTCTTAGGAAAGTGACATCAAATGAGGTTCACGAAGAAAGTTTCCAGACTAAAAGCAGATATTTTGCCAGAGTAACAGACTAGGAAATTCAAACTCTCTGAACGCCCAGGTTTGAACTTCGATCTTGACTTAGCCATGAGAAATGGGGGTAAGGTCTGTGCGGTTCTTTTCCTAGACCAATTCAGTGGTCTAGAAGGTCTGCAGCCAGATATGGAGATGTCCCAGTCCACCCTATCTCTGACAGAGTTCCCTCCCTCCCTCCCTCCCTCCCTCCCTCACACACTGCGTCCCATACTGCCTGTGTAGAGCGCCCTCATGTGTCTAGAGATGGTAAAGTTCATTTCTCAACAGACATGTCGGTAACAGCACCCCTGAAATGTGGAAGGGCACTTCTCTATACCTCACTTGCTTCTTAGTCCACACTGACAATTCAGGCACAGGTGGGCTAGGACTCTGGATTGCCCCAGGTCCTAAAAAATGAAGCAAAAAAGAAAGAGCCAGTCATTCGTTCTCAAATGTCACAAGCAAACCATAACAACAAGGACAAAAAGCAAAGCAAAAGACCAAAAGAAAAAGAGAATTCAGCTGGCTGATGCATATAATACATTGCTCTGGTATTTTCCCCAAAGTACTAAGATATTTCAATTGCTCTAATTTTGTGAGAAAAATTATGGGCCAGGCATGGTGACTCAAGCCTATAATCCCAGCACTTTGGGAGGCCAAGTTGAGGGGATTGCTGGACCCCGCAGGTTCGAGACCAGCCTGGGCAAATTGGCAAGATGTCATCTCTACAATAAACTGAAAAATTAGCCGGGCATGGTAGCACATGCCTGCAGTTCCGGCTGCTTGGAAGGCTGAGGTGGAAGGATTGCCTGAGGCCAGAAGGTCGACACTGGGGTGGCCGTGAGTATGCCACTGCACTCCAGCCTGGCAGAAGGATCACGTAAGTCCAAGAGCTTGAGACCAGCCTAGGCAACACAGCAAGACCTGACCCCAAGTTTTTGACTCCAATTAAAAAAAAAATTATGATGGGTTGCTAAGTTGCAGTGATTCTCTTGTTACTTAGCTAAGAATTTGAAGCACAATTTTAATACTGTTCTTTACAAGACATTAGGAGGATCTTTTTATCATCCTTTTGCTTTTTCCATGAAACCTGTATAAATCCTAAGAAAGTGCTCTGTCTATTCTTGGTTTCAAAGAACCAGCTCCCCAATCCTTAAAGGCAGAACAGCCAAACCCAGCGTTTAATCTCATTACAGCAGGCCTGCGGGCAGAGGTACTGTGGTCTAGATCTAGTCATTCTGAGAAATACACAATGCTGCTCTCATCACACAAGGATCTCACACATTTTTTTGTGATTCATTTTCAGAAGCTGCTTTGTCTGTGGACACTGATTTTTCCCACAGTTCAAAGGTGTTCCTGGTGCTACCACTATGTTCAAGTTTCACAGGAAGAATTGCCCCACAACTTTTACAGAACAATACATTCCAAACCAAACTTGTTTGTCTGAGAAAGTATATAGATTTCTGGTAGGGAAAAAAAGTTATTTCAGAACCATGACTTCAACAGTGACCAAAGAACTTCTACAGAAAATACCAGTGTAAGGCCAGGCACCACTGCTCACGCCTGTAATCCCAAGACAAGGCAGGAGGATCACTTGAGCCCAAGAGCTTGAGACCAGCCTAGGCAACACAGCAAGACCTGACTCTATAAAAAATTTTAAAAATTAGTCGGGGGTGGTGACACTCGTCTGTAGTTCCACCTGCTTGGGAGGCTAAGGTAGAAGGGTTGCCTAAACTTAGGAGGCTTAGACTGTGATGAGCCATGATTGTGCTACTTACTACACACCAGCCTGGGAGACAGAGTGAGCCTCTAAATACAAAATAATAATAATACAATAAATAAAACTACCATATTGAGGTAATAGGAACAATTTGTCACAGATTAGCAAAGAGACTGCATATATAAGGCATTCCTTTGCAAGGAATCCTCACATTCACATGTCAGTATTCTTCCCTTTTCAGAACAGTTTACCACTGTAGACCCTCGCGCCCATTCAAAATGCTATGTAAATCAAAAGTTTTCTAGGCACATTCTCTCAAGTAAAGCCAAATATGCTCATATGTCAATTTCTTCTTTTAAAAATCAAGGTATGATTGGATAATCATTATACCATATTTAGCCATGGACTGAAAACTTTTTCAATGTTGGCACTTGCTCAGGAGGCAAAGGGATTCATCTGTGAATGAAAAAGAAACTTTCTCAGCAAAGAAGAGGTGCTGTAGGGACAGGAGAGGCCACGCCACGGCTTTCTTCTCTGGCAAGTCAGGAGATACCGGCGCAGTCCTTCCCAGGATCCGGTGACACATGTCTCTGAATGAAAGAGACTTTAAACAACTCGACAAGCTGCGTAACTATTAAGGTCATTGCTAATGGCAACTGTGCTCATTACCAGTAGTCACTGTACCAAAGAACTTGCACAAGCACCTCCTTTCTTCTCCTGATAGTATAAACACTGCAAGGCCAGAAATTAGTGTCCACACCCCCTGAAGATTGCTACCAGACAAATTTTCTAAAATAATTTGGGCCAGGTACAGTGGCTCACACCTGAAATCCTAGCACTTTGGGAGGCTGAGGTGGGAGAACTGCATGAGCTTGGGAGTTCGTGACCAGCCTAGGCAACACAACGAGACCACATCTCTATAAAAAATCAAAAAATTAGCTGGACGTGGTGACGTGCACTGGTAGCCCCAGCTACTCAGGAGCTAGAGGCTATAGTGAGCTGTAATCATGCCACTGCATTCCAGCCTAGGTGGCAGAGCGAGACCCTAACTCAAATAAATTATATTAAAGCTTAAAAAATAATAATTTGAGTGTAGGGGCTTGCCCTCAACTGCTCAGAAATTTATTAAAAGCCTACTGTATATCAGGCACTATAGAAACAAGTCCTTGTCTAGTAGTAGACAGACACAGGATCCCAAACCGCAAGTTTCCCGCTCAAAAACCTCAAATATTAAGCAAATTCATAGACTTACATTCACTTTTTCCCTTTGGCTGTTCCTCTAGGTAGCGAGGCTGTCATTCGGTGGAAGTCAGATTATGGGTCTAAGATGTGGGTGTGCGTTCATTAATGCAGAACCTGAACTTTTCTGAACCTCGTTTTCTCGGTCTTTAACAACTTGGGAAAGATGACCTTTGTGATGGTGTTGTTCTGAAACTAAAAAGCAATGAGACAACACCTATGAAAACACTTTACTCATGTGAACATAAGGCAATATCAACAAAAGCAAGTCTCCAAGAGGGTCCCAGCCCTAGGCTCTCAGGACAGGCACAACTAGCCAGGCTGAATCAGGACACACCAGTTTCCAACACAGACCACCTGGAAGGGCACAGTCACCTTTTCTTTCATGAGCTAGACTTAAATATCCTATTTATCCTTAAGAATTTGTGTCTTCTGATTCAACTGTATAGACCTACTTTTTAAATCACTATTTATAAAGCCTTTTTTGTTTTTTCCAGGAAGAGCAAGGGGTTATGACGAGTTACCAACTCTCTGGCTTGCAGTGTGATATTAAGAAAAATGCTTGTTTCCATGTAAAATTAACCCCACAGAACCACACCCAAATAATGTCCGTGTGACAGGAGCTTTCTGAATCTGACTTTGACTCCTGACGCCCCGCAGGGCCCACCTGCCCTTCCCCACCTTAGCTGACAGCCTCCAGGAGTTATTTAAGACATGCTTCCCGCAAACTCTAAGTGTGCCAAGGAATCACCCCTTAAACGACCTGATGCAAAGAAATGGAGGATGTTGACTGAATCACCTGGGATTCGTCTTCAACATGTTTCCCTTGCAGATAAATGGTTATTATGTATTGAATACCATTATATATGTTTGTCAGTCTAAAATGTTCTTATATGAATCAGCAACTCAAAATGTCCTAGATCAAGCAATACTAACTACCATGTCCAAATTGGGAGTTCTGAAAAATCCACTATTTCTTCAATTTTTCAGCATGCCTGGGTTCTCCTTAATAACATTTGTTAAAGGTGACTGAATATTTACATATTCCACAGGAGAACATCATTATGAATCTTCAATTAAACAGTCACTTTTTCTAGCCAAATAAACCACCTGCAGAAAAAGTTGCTGGTACATGAATAGCTATTCAAAGTTGGTTTAATTATTTCATATGTTATCTGGATAGGAAAACAAATTTGCAAGTAGAAACAAAAGCTACATAAACTAACAAGATTTCAAGCTATTAAAGGGCTCCAAGGCTTAAGTAAATACAGTCACCAAAAATGTCATTTTGTGGAAAAGTTTTATTTTGTACAAAGTATTGTTCTGAGTACATTTACTTTACTCTTTCAAAGCAATGCAAGTGCAATGATAAGCATTTGAGTAAAAAGTACCCTGCGCCTTATGAACTTGCACAGTGAGGGCATATACTCACTGAAAGCAGAAATATGTGACCCAATTACAAAGCATAACATTAGGAATAAACACACACAATTGAATAGTCATGAAAAAATAGAAGATCAAAATATTTTGTTTAAAAATATTAAATTCAAGTTATATGGAAATTTTATGCATAAAAAATCATATTGTATAATCAGAATGACTCTTCAATGGTCATTTCTGAAAAACAAATATTAACTTGAGCTAAAAAGCTAAACGTTTAACTTCTTTCAAAGTACTTTCAGAATGTCACTATTCAAATTAAAATAAGATATTTTCGCAATTTGTTCCAAATGCATGTTACACAGTTCTTATCCCAAGAGATCTTCTGGTGCATATAAATAAAGTTGCTAACATAACAGAGGAAGAAAATCACTCTAGGCGAGAAAGCTCAGTGGAGTGGGTCCGTGGGCCTCCATCCACTACCGTGTTTTTCTCCCATCATTCTCGGCCTGCTGTCACTGGAGCCTGAGCAGCCTGAGGCAGCACACTCCAACTCCACTTCACGCTCTCTCTCATCTCTTTGCTGTGCTTTGGGCAGGGAAGTGCTAACATCGCCCTCTCCCTTTCCACCAGATAGGAACATCTAAGCCCACACCTCACGTCCAGCCCCGGGCTGCTGTAACATTCATTTCAGCAACAAAGTGGGCTTTTCTAGTAGTAATTATTTTGCTGTACTGTTTTGTTGCCTTAATACAAATTAACAATTAAAAAAATTAAAAACCAGAAATTCAAACTGTCCATTGACAAATAATCATTAAAAGTGAGGAAAATGAGAAGCAAACCGAGACCCATCTACTTAGTGTTCCCTTCTCCATCCCCACCTCACACCATTCGGTTTTCCCACAGTAATTCCCATATAAACGTAAGGTAGCCCCTTCCACTGCATCACTAAAGTGTCACTTGTGCATATGGAAAGGGCTGAAAGCTTGGGACAGGGAACAGGAGCCTCCCAGTCCACCACCCTCTCCATTAGCCTCCTGGTCGGTGTCCTGGTCGGTCCCGTGCTCAGTCTGTACACCCTGAGAGCTGGAGGCCTCGAGGAGGGGAGGCGGCTCTGGGGTGCAGTCCTGGCTGCCCGTAGCTGCGGGCCGGGAGGGCACCACAGCACGTAGAGGAGTCCTCTTGAGCTTTATCACACGGTGGGGTGTGGCCTTTCTGTCGGGGAGCAGCACCTTCACTGCAGGTGGATGTGCACCTCCATTTTCAGCGCCCCCAGCCCCAAGGGACGCCTGGGTAAGGGCTGAGGTCGCCATACCTCCCAGGGACACGGCCTTGGAAGTCACCAGGCATGGAGCTGCCATTCCACTGCTGCTACTGTGACACTGGCGCATGGTCACCCGAGCCGAGGATGAGGCGGCAGTCGTCGGAGACACCCTGACTGAGGCCGAGTTCTTGACTTTAATCTGGGTACTCGTGGAAGGGCCCAAAAACCGGATGGGCTTAGGACCAGGCTTACAGTTCACATCTTCTGCCTCTTCAGGGAACGTGACCAGGCGCCTGGAAAGGCAGCAGCATGTCATTTTCACCACAGCTTTAAGAACCAAGAATACATCTCTAAAGTTTAGCCTTGGGGTTAACAAAAAGGCTTTCATCAAGAATTACAGAGTCGAGAGGCTTATAGGTACCTACCTCATCTCTCCTTTCCCACCAAGGCCAATATGTAAATTAGCAAGTTTACAGAAGACTGTCTCAATTTGAATACAAATTGTGTAAGATCACACTTAATTTAGTTAAAATTTGGAGTGTCACACAGAATTACATCATGTATCAGCACTCTGTTCCCAAGAATCCTGATGTAACCCGAGGATAACAAGGAATATCCCAAGTTATTTTTCCCAGAACTGCAGTTTCAAGAGATTTATGGAGGAAGAAAAGGATTACACAGTCAAATAAAAGTGTGAAATACTGCTGCATATTAAAGTTTCGAACAGGCCAACGCTAAAGACACCCATCTAACTTTGTCACACCTGCATTTCCCAATCACTCTATAAAAAAACTTTTGACAGTAAAATGTGCATTCTTTGGAACACATTTTGGGGATTGCTAGGACGGTCAAAGCCATTACAGTGTGGCTAGATTATTTCTGCATTTAAGAAGTATTGGATAAACCTTCAAAGACTCCTGAACCAAGTTTGCCATAAAAAGGACTAAAGGGAGGACGTTTTTAAAAATTCCCTTAAAAACTGTCAAACTGCCATTGTCAAAACCCTGCCTGCTCCTTCCATTGTTCCCACCAGCGTTCCATCCAGAGAAGCACACGACCATGTGGGGTGACCCAGTGCTCCAAGTCCTTCCAGTGCAAGTCCACAAGGGATCCGTGTGCTGTGAGAGGCCATTGGGACAGCAGTCCCTGATCTTTTTGGCATCAGGGACTAGTTTTGTGGAAGACAATTTTTCCACAGATGGGGAGTGTGGGGGATGGTTTTGGGATGATTCAAGCACATAGCATTTATTGTGCTCTTTATTTCTGCTATTATTACATTGTCATATATAACGAAATAATTATACAGCTCACCATGAAAAAAAAGAGGTGTGGACAAAAATAGTAAAAAAATAATGGAGAGGCCACACACAGATTAAAATAAGTGTGGGATTATGACTAAAAGCCGGCCACCAGATGCAGCCATACAGGTGAAGTAAATGAACTCATTTGCCACTCACTGATAGGATTTTGATATGAATCTGTAAGCAACTGATTTATTGTGGTCTCTGTGCAATCAAACCTCACTGCTAATGTTAATCTGTATTTGTAGCTGCTCTCTCTTGCCAGCATCACTGCCTCAGCTCCACCTTAGATCATTAGATATTAGATACTCATAAGGAGTATGCAGCCCAGATCCCCTGAATGAACAGTTCACAATAGGATTTGCGCTCCTCTGAGAATCTAATGCAGAAGACAGAGCTCAGGCATCATGCAAGCAATGGGTAGTGGCTGTAAATACAGATGAAGCTTCGCTGGCTCACCTGCTGCTCACCTCCTGCTGTGCAACCTGGTTCCTAATAGGCCACGGACCAGTACCAATGCATGGCTCAGAGGTTGGGAACCACTATATTAGGACACAGTGAATGCCCATTCTCAGAAACGGGATGGCACTGGCATGGTTATTTGAAATGTAACATGTCCAACCCTAACACTCCACTGGACATTCTCTCTGGGAGTCAGATGGCTCCAACGGACCTTACAAGTGCTTCTCAGTCATCCTCATTGCCATCCTGCCAATGCATCTCAAAAGAGCCTTCACAGGATCCCAGAGAAAAGATCGATATAGGAGAGACTCCCAAACTCCTCCTGCCTGCTGTGTTTCCATCTCCTTTCCTCACTCAACTCCACACCTAGGTCTCAAGTTCAGAACAACGACCACTTGGGTCACATCATCCTTTGTTGTGGAGCTGCCCTGTGCACTGCGGGGTGTTTAGCAGCACCACCCACCTCACAATGTGACAAACTAAAAAGGTCTCTAAACATTGTCCAGTGTCCCCTGGGAAGCAGAATCACCCCACGTTGAGAACCACTGCTCTTGACTCAACTAATATTTGCTAACTGTAGGTTCCAAAGGCAAATAAATAATGATAATACAATTTCAGCCTTTAGGAAAAACAAGATCTAGTGAACAGACACTTCTCAAAAGAAGACAAACGTACAGCCAACAGACACATGAAAAAATTCTCAGCCTCACTAATCATCAAAGAAATGCAAATTAACACTACACTGAGATGCCACCTACCTCCAGCCAGAATGGCCATCATCAATAACTCAAAAAACAACAGATGCTAGAGAGGATGTGGGGAAAAGGGAACACTTCTACACTGTTGGTAGGACTGTAAACTAGTACAACCTCTGTGAAAAACAGCTTAGCAATTCCTAAAAGATCTAAAAATTGGCCTCCTATACGACCCAGCAATCCCTGTTCTGGGAGTATATCCTGAGGAACTCAAATCATTCTATAGAAAAAGATATCTATGCACATGTGTTTATTGCAGCACTATTCACAATAGAAAAAACATGGAACCAATTGTGCTGCCCATCAAAAGTTGACTGGATTTTTAAAAATGTGGTACATATATACAATGGACTATTATGCAGCCATAAAGAAGGACAAAATTATGAACTTTGCAGCAACTTGGATAGATTTACACTCTGTAATACTCAGTGATCTATCACAGAAACAAAAAACTAACTACCACATGTTCTCACTCATAAGCAGACCCTGGACAATTATCATAATACTACAAGAAAGGGACTGGCAATAGTGGGAAACTGCCGAGGGAAGTCAGGGGGGCCAACTTCATCAATAGTACCTGATCTCAAAGCAGGCAAAGTGGGGACCAAAGTGATGCCCAAACTTTACCTGTACAATGACCATTTGTTTACCTAGCGCTGAATTGTACCTTACATCTTTAGTAAAATTATTTTTAAAAAAGAATATAGCTGGGCTCGGTGGCTCAGCCTGTAATCCCGCGTCTTTGGGAGGCTGAGGTGAGTGGATTGCCCGAGCCCGCGGGTTCGAGACCCACCTGGGCAGGCAAGACCTCACCTCTACAATAAAATCAAAAACTAGCTGGGCGTGGTAGCGCGCGCCTGTAATTCCAGCTACTCGGAAGGCTGAGGCGGAAGGATCGCTGGAGCCCAGCAGGTCGAGGCTGCAGTGGCTGTGAGCGGCCACTGCACTCCAGTCTGGGCGACAGAGTGAGACTCCAACTCAAAAAAAAACAAAAAACAAAAAAGAATATAATTTTTTTAAAAAAGAAGCAAGATCTACTTTGAAAGGGATGATTAACCGCAAAAAACTGAATAAGCTTCTCTGCATTTCTATAAAAAATCCAGAAGATAAAAGTTAGAAAGTGGTCTGAAATTCCACAGGGGTACTGAATCGAATTCTAGGACAAAATCAGAACATCTGAAGGCCACGAATAAATCCTAGACACTATAAAAGAAATGTGATTTCAAATGTATGCAAAACACAGAGCTGTGGAGTGACTTTAAAGTGAATAATTTCATGGAACACAAGAAAATACCATTAAATAAAAATGCTATTTGTGGCAATAGGAAAAAAGGAATTCAGAATAAGCCACAGGAAATTTCAAGTATTAAGGCCAAATCAATTTTTTTTTTACTATTGCCAATAAAGTCTGGGATTTCGCTTTTGTGAAGCAAAAATTACCTACCACAGCATTCCCAGTGTCCACTGGCATTTTCAAAATCACACTCTCCCAGTGAGCACATCCAACATGTGCAGCTTTATTCCCACTTTTCACATAGTAGTGGAAACCCTGTGTTTATCAAGATGGATATTTTGATAGTAAATCAAGATATTCAAGAACTAGTATTCATTTCTCCCTCATACAGGCATTAAAAAACCAGCCAATGGTTAAACAATAAAACCCAGAGCCCACAGGCACAGAGACCTCTTCCGGACAGGGGCCATGTGGCGCAGGCTTCCCAGCAGCGGCCGCTCCTCCAGAGTCCAGCACTCGATCAGCTCGTGTGGCACCCGCCAGTAGCTCACACCTGGGAGGCAAGCAGATGGAATTAAGAGAGCCACCGGCCATTGCAAAACATCGAGTGACGTCACTTCAAATAAGACAGGCTCAAGTCTGCCATCTGGCCAAGGGCAGTATCGCGACACAGAGAGCTAGGCCCACAGAGGGGCACATCTCATCTTGGGTTCAGGAAGAGCTAGCCACCACCTTTGCCTGCGACTCGCAAAGAAGCCTTGGCAGGCCTTTATCTGTGCCCAGGGTAGCCGAGTGTGGGCTGGGTGAGGGCGTGGGCTCCAGCCCAAACCGTCAGGGTCTAGATCTACTTCTTTCATTCACTTATCATATGACCTTGGGAATATTACTTTTCTGGGCCTAAATGTTCTCATCTGTGAAATAAAGACAATGAAAGCAGGTACCCTAAAGGACTGCTGTGATGACTGAATAAGTTAGCAAATGCAAAACACTTACAACAGGGTCTGGCACAAACTTAGTCTTTATTAGCAGTCATGTGTTGGTAGCAGTATCAGTACTATATGGGGCATTATAACACTTGCCCCTAACTACTTCATTGGGTCTCTGTGATCAAATCAGGCAAATGTTGTGAACCACTCTGAAAACAACAACCATTATATACATGTGAGCTATCACTACCTTATTAAGTACCTTTTCAAACAAGAACTATCTGAACTGTGATAGGTCAAAATCTCAAATTCATTTTTAATTTTTAAATGTGATATATTTCTGATTGAAAGCTGAAATATGAATTCTTAAAGTCTCAAAAACATTATGGAAGCCCAACATAAAGGGTCACATATGGTATTATTCAATTTATAGGAAATATCCAGAGTAGGTATATCCACTGAGACAGAAAGCAGACTGGTGGCTGCCAGGGGCTGTGGGAGAGGGTGAAGTGGGGAGTGCCCAACCCATGTGGGCAAGACTTCCTTTTGGGATGATGAAAATGTTTTGGAATCAGCTAGAGGTAATGGTTGCATAACACTGTGAATGTAGTAAATGCCACTGAAATGTACACTTTAAACTAATTAATTCTATGTTATGTAAATTTCAACTCAACTTTTTAAAAAAAGAGACATAAAAATTATATATAAACACGTGAAAAGAAGCTAAATTATATATAAGTTTTATGTTGAATATAAATTGCTTGGCATTTTAAATAAGAGTAATCCTGTAAGTCCCAAAAATAGATTTGGTGTCTTCTTTTTATCATTAAAGTCCTGGAAATAAAAACCAATTTAGCAAGCTGGACATGAAAACTATAATATGCAAAAGATATGTCCAATACTCAAATAATTCTACGATCCTCATTTTAAGACAGTAACTTTCTGGAGCTGCTTGATCATGCTCTAAAACCCCACACATGCTATAAAAATATTTCCAAATCTGGTCCATTAAGCTTGTCTTTTTTAAAAGTCAGATTTATTAAGATATCATTAACATAAAATTCACCCTTTTCAGGTCTACAGTTCAATGAGTTCTGACAAATGTGAGAAGTCATGTTTCCATGGCCACAATCAAGATACAGACAATTTCTATCACCCCAAAAAGGGAACCAATGCCTCCCTCCCAAGTTTTTCCTTTTCCAAAGTGTCATATAAAGGGAGTCATACGATATGTAGCCTTTTGTGTCTAACTTCTTCAGTATGATGCTATAAAGACTCATCTATGTTGATGTATGCATCAATGATCATTTTCTTTACTGTTGAGTAGTATTTCATGGTATAGATATACCACAATTTGTCTCAATAATGATCTTTCTTTCTCTTTGCCTATAAAGTAATTCACACTTATTGTATAAAACCTGGAAAATATGGAAAAGTATATATAAGAAAATCAAAATCACTCCTAATCTAAAGGCTAGGAATCATTGGTTCAGGACAGACTGATGTATTTCATTATAGTCTTCTTTCTATTCATATGATATTCACATAATTGAAAAACTTTACAATTAATTTTGTTTCCTGCTTTTTAATCATTTCTTATTTTATAATGGTCATTCATCTATGTAAAAAGCTATTTAACCTGGACCAGATGGCTTTCCAGTAGAATTCTACAAAACGTACAAGGAGGAGCTGAAATCAATCCTACTGAAAGTATTCCAGGCAACCAAAAAAGATGGCACTCTCTTCAAATCATTTTATGAAGCTAACATCACATTGATGCCCAAACCAGGTAAATATCCAATAAAGAGAAAGAACTATAGGTGCTAAATGTGCAACTACAGATGAACACAGATGCTAAAATTCTCAACAAGAGTCTAGCAAACAGGATCCAATAACACATCTCAAAAATCACCCACCATGACCAAGTAGGTTTCACCCCCAGGATGCAGGGCTGGTTCAACATCCACAAGACCATAAATGTAATTAAATACATCAACAGATATAAAGACAAAAACCACATGATTATATCATTAGATGCAGAAAAAGTTTTTGATAAAATTCAGCACCCCTTCTAGATTAAAAACCCTCGAACATCTAGGCATAGATGGAACATACCTCGAAATAGTAAGAGCCATCTATTCTTTCCAGCAGAATTCTACAATTCTCTGTGAGAAACCTGCAGCCAACATACTGCTAAACAGACAGAAATTGGAACCATTTCCCCTGAAAACCAGAACAAGGATGCCCACTCTCACCCCTCCTGTTCAAGATAGTATTGGAAGTCCTAGCTAGAGCAATCAGACAAGAGAAGGAAATCAGGGTATCCAAACAGGAAAAGAGGATATTAAGTTATCCCTCTTTGCAGATGACATGATTCTATACCTCGAAAACCCAAGAGAATCTGTCTAAAACCTCCCTGCACCAATAAAGGACTTTGGCAATGTCTCAGGGTATAAAATAAACGTGCAAAAGACAGTTGCACCTCTATACATCAACAATAAACAAACAGAAACCCAAATAAAAAGCACAATCCCATTCACAATAGCCAGAAAAAAAATGAAATACCTTGGCATCTTCCTAACCAGAGAATTCAAAGATCTTTACAACAAAAACTACAAAACACTGCTCAGAGAAATCAAAGATGACACAAACAAATGGACAAATATCCCATGCTCATCACTTGGAAGAATCAACATTGTTAAGACGTCTATCCTACCAAAGGCAATCTACAGATATAATGCCATACCCATTAAATTACCAGCAGCATTCTTCTCAGACCTGGAAACAACAATACAGGAATTCATATGGAAACATAAACAACTATGAATCACCAAAACAATCCTCAGAAAAAAAAAGTGGGAGGTATCACACTCCCAAACTTTAAACTTTATTATAAAACTACAATAATCAAGCCAGGCTGGTATTGGTACAAGAACAGGCATATAGACCAATGGAACAGGATAGAGATTCCAGAAGCAAAACCTCAATTTCTCAACCAACTCATCTTCGACAAAGCCTCAACCACTAACCACTGGGGAGTGGAGAACCTATTCAGTAAATGGTGCTGGGAAAACTGGCTGACCGCATGCAGAAGATTAAAACAAGACCCCTACCTATCACCATACACAAAAGTCAACTCTAAATGGATCAAAGACCTAAACGTAAAATCTCAAACTTTAAGAACCTTACAAAATGCAGGAGACACCCTTATGGAAATTGGAACTGGCAACCAATTCCTGATCAAAGCTCCAAGTGCCCATGCCATAAGAGATAAGACAGACAAGTGGGACCTCATCAAACTGACAAGCTTCTGCAAAGCCAAAGAAATCATCAGGAGAGCAGGGTGACAGCCCACAGACTGGGAAAATATATTTGCCAACTGTATATCTGACAAAGGTCTAACATCTAGGATCTACAAGGAACTCAAACATGCCAAAAAGAAAAAAACAAACAGCCCCATTACAAAGTAGGCAAAAGATATGAAGAGACACTTCACAAAAAGACTTATGAACAGCCAACAGATAAATCAAAAAATGCTCAGCCTCACTAGTCATCAAAGAAATGCAAACTAAAACCACAATGAGATACTACCTAACTCCAGTCAGGATGGCCATCATCAATAACTCAAAAAACAACAGATGCTGGAGAGGATGCAGCAAAAAGGGAACACTTCTACACTGTTGGTGGGAGTGTAAACTAGTACAACCTATATGGAAAACTTTGGCAATTTCCTAAAAGGTCTAAAAATCGACCTTCCATACAACCCTGCAATCCCTCTCCTGGGAATATACCCAGAGGAACTCAAATCACTCTACGAAAGATACCTGCACACGTACATTTATTGCAGCATTGCTCACAATAGCAAAAACATGGAATCAACCAAGCTGCCCATTGAAAGAGGACTGGATAAAAAAGTGTGGTACATATACACGATGGGATATTACGCAGCCATAAAGAAGGACAAAATTATGAGCTTCAAAGCAACTTGGTTGGATTTAGAGTCTATAATACTGAGTGATCTATCACAGAAACAAAGAACTGAGTATCGCATGTTCTCACTCATAAGTGGACCTTGAACAATTATGGTAATACTATAAGAAAAGGATTGTCAGTAGTGGGAAATTGCGGGGGGGCAGGATTGGTAGTGGTGGGATTCTGCCGGGGGAAGGGGGGCATACCTCATCAACAAGGGTACCCGCATAATGAACATTTGTATACTTAACCCTAAACTGTACCCAACATCTTTAAAATTTAAAAAAAAAAGCAATCAATGCATTACAAAACTGAATTGGGCAGACTATAATTTTGCTGGCTCTGAGACCAAGTAATAAAAAACTAAATGTGAAAAAAAATTTTAATCGATTTATTATATTCCATCTTGTGGATGTGCCAAAATTTCACCCTCAATCATCAGATGTTCCAATTGTTTTTATTTTTTCCTCGTTATGAATAATGCTAATAGAACATCTATGTAGATAAGCCACTGTCTGAGTTTGATTATATCCTTATGACAGACTCCTAAAAGTAGAATTACTGGAACAAAAATGAACAATTTAGATGTTATTTATGTGACCTGACAAGCTATTTCCTAGAAAAGTTATGTCAATTTTACTACTGCCCAAAATAC